GAGCTGTTTCGGAAATTGAATTAGTCTTAATTACGGCTGGAGTAAACTGGAAATTAGCAGACGTAATTAGGACAAGGTAGCCAGCTTGGAAATACCAAGGGGTTCAAACTCTTGTCTTCCCTTAAGTTATACTGTTATAGGACCCCCCCCTCCGAGACTGATAGTCTTAATTTTCTTAACAACGAGCCGCTTTTGCTAAGACTAGACCTCCAAAACTGATACATACCATCACATCCAGACACTAGTGTCCAAAAAATAGAACTACTAATACTGCCAAACAGCCCAAACAACTGCCCAGCACACACATCTTCAACACACAAATATCCTTATAGTGACAAGAAGTGGATATTTGATGAAACTTTGAGAAATTGAAGATGGGCTGCTTCTGGACACACGTATCCAAATAAAATGGATTTTAATTAGTTTTGAATAACCTTGAAAAATGAACTATGCCTATATTAGTCATAAATTATATTTTTGATGAAGACAATAACACAATTTCGGCATTGATAATAATTTTAGTCCCTAACATTATGATGTTCACCACAATGTAAAATGTGGAATAGTCATATATCTCTGTTGTTGTGGGGGTTAACGCCATTTTTCAGCACACGATAGGCACACGATACATGGCGGCCAGTATTAATGGTGGATGAAGAAACCGGGAAAACCGCGGAAAGAACCACCAACCCAAGAGAAGCTACTGGCAAGATTTCTCACATATCCACATTCGCTGAATTTCAGACTCGAAACCAAGCAGACAGAGGTGAGATGGCAGTGATTGGTAACGGAGAGCGCTTTAGACAATTCGGCCACTCGGGGCCCCACATGTCTCTCTGTACATGCAGAACTGTTAATTGTGCCACAATTGGTGGTTCAATTTTTTAATGAATGAAACTTGAGTTTAAATCTCTAATCACTTTCGTTGTATCCTAGTAATGGGTTAAAAGCAAAATGCACAAAATGCAAGACTTTGCTTTATTTTGTTCCCTTTATGTAGAGTACCAGCCTTAATTGTATCCTGGTGTCTTAACCACCTAATTGTCGTTGCAAATGACCATACTGTGCAACGATAAAAACTCATTTAAAACTCATTCAAATATCATACGCAAAGTAACATAAATAACAAGTTATCAAATACGCGAAAATGTCAAAAAATCACCACTTATATGACAGTAGCTAATTGTACAAATAAAATTGCTAACTCTTTCTCTATTCGTGACCTATTCGGCACATCGTATAATCTAATGTTGAAAGCCACATGGATATATACTTGAATATAAATTATATTCACAGTCAGTAAGCATGTTGTATGGAGGTGGCTTACCGCCATAATTCTGCGAATGTATTTTCTATTAGAATACGCCATACATTTCTTTTCTGCGTTATTTTATTTTTCCATTTTCAGTCTATGGAAGATGTAAGTTTAAGATTACATCTTAACATCTAATAATAGTTCTTTCTAACTTTGATATGCGAGATATTGGAATAATGCCATTTCATATCTTCAAATTTCATGTACATATTTTCAATATTAGAAACATCAACATTTTTCATTGCATTATTCCATTTTTAAGTTTACTCGTTGCATTCGGACAGGTTATTTGATTACATATTAATCCCCATAACGGTAAAGAAATGCATAACATTGTAGAAGTTACAATGTAATACTGTGAAAGTTACAACTAAGATGTCAGCATAATAAACTGTAATACAGTGAAAGTTACAACTAAGATGTCAGCATAATACACTGTAGTACAGTGAAAGTTACAAGACGTTAGCATAATGCAGATTTCAAGATTAAAATTGGAATTAATTTTATAACATTCTTAAGAAAGTTGCAAGTTGACTGTTAACAATGTTCAATATGCAATATAGATTGACCTCCCACTTTTGAATAATAGAGTGCATCCTGATAACAGAATGAAACTTGACGCAGATCACGTGCACAATCGGATCATGGATGACTAAATTACAGATCCTACCTTCAGTGTCTCGACAGAAAGGTAAAATTTGTTGAATAATAAGAAAAAAAATACTTAATTATTCCTGAATATGGGGTTGTTTTTTTTATCTGCAGGTGAATAATTGAGAGAGGAACTCTCTCCACAATCCTCCATGTTATAAAAATCTCGATCAGTCGATCGATCGAACGTGATACGACAAATTAAACAATGTTTGCTGTTGGATAAATGAATAAATAAACAAGTTTTAAAGTCTCTCTTTCAATCCTGATAAAGGTATGACGTAATATTCATTTCAGCTAGAAACCACACATAACCGCCAAAACAGAGCGAAACTATTACTCTAATATATTTCCTGAAATAGACTAGTTCAATGTAATACCTGTTGACCCCATTTTACGTATACGTTGTCGAACATGGTGGACTAATGTTAAATTCCCTATGTTTAACTTAGAACTCCCATTTTTGGTTATCATGCCCCACTATAATAATACTGAGTTACATTTGGTTGGAGCGACGATGTCACTATTAGAATCGAAGTAGCAAAGGTAGTTGAGCATTAACCGCACATGAACCTCGTCCCTCACCAGTCCTGTCAAAGCGGGCCCCTGGGTTATTCTATACGCTCTCCATATCGTGATTGTTTCTTAAAATGTAAAAACATTTTTTTAAATGTTTTTAATATTAGTTAAAAAGATATAGATTTTTCAAGAAGAAAAATCATTGTACAACATTATTTTATTGCAGACTTCTTGATAATTTAGCTCAATAAAATGAAAATATTTTGGCGGTTTTATAATGCCGATATGTTTGAGGGTTATAATACATATAAATTGGCTTGAGAGAACACATATAGCTTGGCGGGATATAATACAGATCGTTTTGTCGACATGTAATACAGATCATTTGGCGGGATAACAGGCGCATCATTTGCATGATGTAATAGACATAATTTGGAGGGATAAAATATAATTCTTGGATGGATATAATACAGATAATGTGACGGGATAGCATACATATCATTTTTGGGATGTAATACAGATCTGAAATCTGGAAAAAAAATACCAACGGCGTCAATTTTGATCTTAGCAAGAATTAATTGCAACCACAATGAAATTAGTAAAGCTTTAAGGGTAAATCCTGCTACTCTAATGGCAGACTGACTATCTGAAACCTGAAAGTTTGGGTCAGGATGAAAAACAGTACTGTTCCGGAACATCATTGTATTGTTACATACATCGGATTATTTTATTTACGGTAAACGTAACCTGTTCCAATATTTACTTTACTATTAAATTTGGGTTGCCTATTTCTATTGTGTTGGTATATTCCAATTTTGCATTCAGATATATGGCTGACGTTTATAAATTCAACGAGTCTGAATAATGTCCCTTTCATGTGTATCCTATTGGCCGATGCTAGATATTAATTTAAGTAAACAATGTTAAGAAAGTTTAGTTTGATCAAACTCGTCAAAGACTATAGATTAGATTATTTACTTTCCAATTCCGAGCGTAAAGAACAAAACGCAGTACCTTGGTCACTTTTATTAAAGCCTGTTATGTTCGATTATTACTTATTGTATCTACTAAATCAATAGCGTGACGACGAGCCCTAATCAAATACAAAAGGTAAATGTAGTAACTCGATGTATTGGAGAGTTCAAATATTCGATAAACCATTCAGGCGGATAAGGATCCGAAAACACACTTTCCCGTGTTATAGGTGCGAATATAATTTAAAACCCCGCTCTTTTACTTTGGATGGTGGGAACTCGATTATTTTGGCGGGAAAAAAAAACGTAGAAGGCCTAAGACAAAAAAAAGTTTTTGATCCATGTTTTAAAAAGAAAAAGATTGTAATCTGTAACAGAAGATGAAGATTTTTTGACTGATTTTTTGATTTTACGAGTGGTGCAAATTATATTGTTGTAAAAATAATGAGAAAAAAATTGTTGGCAACACTATTCTAAATTATATTGGGATCAATATTTTGAATAACAATGACATCAATATTCAAAATTTTAATTCGTAGGTTCTTGTAAGTTTCTAAAATTTCGTGGTCATTTTATATTTAGGAATCGGTAGCATAAACTGGTCTTAGTGCTTATGTTTTAAATCAATAAATTAAAAATCTTTATGCACTTTAATCCTTTTTGATACATTATTTCATTCATTTTCACCATATATTAGATTGTTTATATTTCTCCACAAACACACACACACACACACACACACACACACACACACACACACAAAGAATAGGAACTCGCTTGGCGCTCAGCATTTAGAGGTTAGTGTTATGACTGGTCGGCCTAGTGTCAGGAAAATGTGACTCATGCTACACGTCTACAATGGTACCATGCCCCAGTGCTATACATCGCTATAAACTGCCACACTGCAGACCTTGTAGCGATATGTCTGAAAAATGTTTAAAGCTACGTTAAAACTCACACACACACACACACACACACACACACACAAACACACACACACATGAATAAGAAGGAAAACCACACGATGACTTATTTCCAAAGTTACTTTTCTTGATGTAGTATGTTGTTGTATAATAATATACACAAACCGTAAGTCATATATCATATTTTAGTGTGTTTTCTAGTGAAACAAATTAGTTTTGTTAAAATTTACAATTGACTTCACTCTTTTCTTTTGTTACATTTGTACGAGCCTACACGTAATAAGATCGATAGAATTACTCCGAGAAAGAAGCCATCCGTATGTGTGTTTATGTGTGTGTGTGTGTGTGTGTGTGTGTGTGTGTGTGTGTGTGTGTGTGTGTGTGTGATTTGGATTTTTAACGTTGCTTTAAAAAATTTCATTAATATCCCTACGATGTCTGCAGTGTGACAGTTAATAGTGATGTGTAACACTTGGGCATCAAGCTGCAGACACGTAGCATGATGTTCAACCCAGTCACGTTATCCTGACATCAGGCCGACCAATCCTGACACTAACTTCTTAACGCTGAGCGCTATGCGAGGCAGCTGTAAGTACAATCTTTTGTAAGTTTTTGGTGTGACTCGACCGGGGATCGATTCCACGACCTCTGCATCCGAAGCGGACACTATAACCACTAGGCCACCGGTGAAGCCACTCGTAATTTGGCTGCAAAACTAAGAAATAGATTCTAATGAAAGACCAAGCTTCGAAAGGAAGCGTTTTAGGGAACACTGAACTTCGGGTTCGATTGGGTCCAGAGTCTTCAAGAGTTGGAGACGGAATTGAGACTGTAGCCGTGACAGTCGAAGTCGACAGAAGAGTAGTCGTGGTAGGAAAAAGTGGTTGAGAAGGAGGCGGAAAAGGGATTTAGAGAACAGTCGAGGAGGAACGGGAGAAGGAAGTCGGAAAAATAAAAGAGAGAGAGGGGGAGGGGATACAAAAGTACAACAGACGAGTACAAATACAAAGACAGGTGGAAATTAATCTCGCACTGGTGATCAAGTGATGTAATATGCTTACTAAAGTGTCGAGCGGAAGGAGTGTAATTGGAAATTTGAGTCATTTGATTAGTGGATTGTTATTACATTTTTATTTATGGAATTTTGACCTTTTGTATATTTAACCATCTAACTATCGGCATTGCTGACTGGGGACTGAGCTTTACATCTATCTTTCACTAAATTTAACTTCCAAAAAAATAGAGTCTGGGTGGGACTTCAATAATAGTTTAAATAGAACATTGGGAGCACCCAACCCCAACTATAACAATCTCCACACTTTGTTTTGGTTTGGGGTTTCTTGGTTTTGTATTTTTGCCATATGTAAAAATGGTGCGTTTAATACTCTCAAAATATCGATAACATTTTTTACACATGTTCTTGTAAAGAAGATACGCGAAAAATGATACACGGGAACCAGTTAATATGTCTGAATTATATTAAATATAATTGGGTACAGTCCCATAATTATTTTTTGTTTCCTTATATTATTGTTGGATTTGTTTTGATAGTGGGGGTTGGTTCCATTTATTTTGTTAATCCTATATTATAATATTTTTAAAGATCAAGAACTAATTAAAGTAAATAAAACAAGAATGAAAAGGGAATATTCCTTTACTGTAAAATATTTACAAAATAATCAAATAGTTTTTCAACAAGAAATTATAATCATGTCTGAGGTTTTTTCTCCTTGAATTTAAAAAAATAAACAAACGTATACGTTTATATTTCAGAACTGTATGTACAAATACAATTTCGATATTTATGTTACAATTTTGGCATCAGCAAAATACTCGTATTTCTTGAAGTAGTAGTAGTAGTAGTTGTTGTAGTAATAGTAATAATAATAATAATAATAATAATAATAATAATAATAATAATAATAATAATAATAATAATAATAATAATAATAATAATAATAATAATAATAATAATAATAATAATAATAATAATAATAATAATGCCGATGAGGCTGATAATAATAAACAACTAGTGTTGCATGTTAAATCATCATCATCAACAGAGATATTATTATTATTATTATTATTATTATTATTATTATTATTATTATTATTATTATTATTATTATTATTATTAACATCCAGTAATAGTTTATGCACACTCCTTTAGTTCTATTTTCTTACTCCCCAATAGAAGACACAGTGAACCAATATTGAATGTGTATAACACTGCTCCATTTAAAGCTACATGCAATATTTATGATTTGCCTATTTCACCTCAAATCGTTCTGCTTCAGAATGATATTATATATTCTCTCACTAATCACAATGTTTCTCCGGGGTCCATTAGACATGCAGGCCAGTCGTGTTTCTTCAGAACTAATTAGTTTTATTGAATCTTCTAGTCACTTATTGAATTTTTAAGAGTTGGAAGTTCATCTCACTCCCAGCCAATGTGTCCAAACGAATCAACTCAATATCAGAAGTACGGGGAAAAAAATCAATTAAAATATCAACCCAAATTTATTTCATATTCACTTACTCTATGAAATTCAGTTTTAAGCATGTAATAATATACCAGAGAAAGTATTAGAAGGGAAGACTAAAAAAACCTTCGAAAGTCTAGAAATTTGCTTAGGAGTGGTTGTGTCAATCTCATAAACACAAAAGTACATTGCGTCGCGCATGTCATGTGGAACTGTTCCTTCCCTCCAATAATAGAGTATGTCATAGAGATGTGAAGACAGGATTCGAAGTGCCATAATTTATTTCTTTGGCTGCAATTCCATCTTTTTCGGGCGCCTTTCCACTTGCCAAGGAATATATGACTCGGTTGAACTATTGGCGTATCGTTGAACTCCTCCATGACAGGTAAATAGCAATGTAGATTCGAGTTAGTACATTTTAAAAATGGTCTTTCTTCCAACGTGTCATGTGCTTCTTGCTCCTGTCGGTGACCAGTTAGTACATTTTAAAAATGGTCTTTCTTCCAACGTATCATGTGCTTCTTACTCCTGTCGGTGACCACAACGCCACCTAGTGTCTTCAAGAAGGTAACTTTGGTTTTGGATCAATTTTAAAATAACGAAACCACACCATAATTGTACGATATGACTGAGAATTGCATCCGTATACTTAGTCTAAATCAGTCATAACAACATCAGGAGAGTGCCGTATGCATTTTACTCAATATCAAAAATGTTCTTCTTCTCCGACATTTTTACGGCATCTCATTTATCTACGTTACGTCACGCGCATATCTCTGTAGATCTCCAACGTGCTGCACGTGCAGCTGCAGAGCTTCTTACAATGACTTGGAGTCTTAGCGAGCACCAGACAAGTTTTATATATATATATATATATATATATATATATATATATATATATATATATATATATATATATATATATATATATATATATATATATATATATATATATATATATATATATATATATATATATATATATATATATATATATATATATATATACTCCACAGATAACAACAAGAGTATCTACAAACATAATGTACAATCTGAGCAAGTCATTCACTCCACAGGAGTCTGCAGTTTTATCAATAAAGCACGACGAAATTTCTGACTACATGAAATCACCTTAACGGTATTATAAAACATTTTAAGAAAAAATAAAAAAAAAATAAAAAACAATAGCGTACCTTCTCATTACTCTCAGACGACCATCGCATGAATCCAATCCGGCGAATTAACTTTTATTTTCAGCATTTCGGTCACAAACCCTGGAATCGTGAACCCTTTAAGGAAGTAGCCAATTTCTACTAGTTTCTCCTCTGCAGTAAATATGCGTTAGGGTCTAATAATCGTTCCGAACACGGCGCAGAATCTTTTTTCTTTTAATATTTGGGAAATTTAATAATGCGGACTGCGAAATTATTGACAATAAAATACTGTAAATAACATTTTCATGATGCATTCATTATTGTGAGCAAATTCAACTTTTTATTATTATTATTATTATTATTATTATTATTATTATTATTATTATTATTATTATTATTATTATTATTATGATGATGATGATGATGATGATGATGATGATGAAGATGAAGATGATGATGATGATGATGATGATGATGATGATGATGATGATGAAGAAGAAGAAGAAGAAGAAGAAGAAGAAGAAGAAGAAGAAGAAGAGTGTGTGTGTGAAATTTGGATTTTTAACGTATCGTTAATAATTCTGCAGTCATATCGCTACGATGTCGGCAGTGTAGCAGTTTGTAGTGATGTCTAATGCTGTTGTATTAGTCCGCAGACATGTAGCATCGTGTCACACGCAGTGACATTATCCTGACACCAAGCCGACCAGTCCTAACACTAATCTCTTAATTCTGAGAACCAAGCAAAGCAGCTGCTAGTACCATTTTTATAAGACTTTGGTACATCTCGGCCGTGGTACGAACCCGCGACCTTCCACATCCACTAGGCCATAAGAGCAGTAAGAAGAAGTAGTAGTCGTTACATTTAGTATGAATTATCATTAGATTTTTTTAACAGGTTCAAAGAAATAAAACATTATAATAAAATATTCATAATGTGTTCAAGTACCCCTATACACATTATAATGACCACAATGACACAAAACCAAAGATTTTGATTTAGATGTTTTCTATTATCGTTTTGTTGTTGTTGTTGTTGTTGTTGTTGTTGTTGTATTCTTGTTATTTGCTTTCTCTTTCTTCATTAGCCTGGATTAAAAGTTTTTGTTTATTTTTTTTTCCTTCGGACAAATCATTATGAAATTAAGATAAGTCATTCTACGACAAGATTGCTATCACGTTTTATCTTTTGACCAAGGACAGACGTATTACAATAATGTTTTGATAATATGGTTTATATTGCACTCATATTGATACGATCAAGAATGCCAATAAGCACCTTATAGAAATCATATGTACGAAATTAGGAATAAAATCATAGCTAATCTGATCCTTTCGTACAAACTGGAATTTTCATTTTGTGCTGTTTAATACAATCACTATTCCATTAGATGAATTTACGAAGTGGCAGGGTTTTTCTACTTTTCCTCGGTAAAGGACAAATATGCTTCTCTCTCTCTCTCTCTCTCTCTCTCTCTCTCTCTCTCTCTCTCTCTCTCTCTCTCTCTCTCTCTCTCTCTCTCTCTCTCTCTCTCTCTCTCTCTCTCTCTCTCTCTCTCTCTCTCTCTGCTTCATTCACTTCTGTTAACTTTCTCTGGCTTCTTTTTAAATTCCAGTTAGAACATCTGTATTGTTATGTAAAACACAGCTGTATGTATTTATTACTATATTCTTTAATTGTGATGCAAGGTATGTATGTATTTATGTATGTATGCATGCATGCATGCAAGCGTGCGTGCATGCGTGTGTGTATGTATGTATGCATGCATGCATGCAAGCGTGCGTGCATGCGTGTGTGTATGTATGTATGTATGTATGTATGTATGTATGTATGTATGTATGTATGTATGTATGTATGTATGTATGTATGTATGTATGTATGTATGTATGTATGCGTGCGTGCGTGCGTGCGTGCGTGCGTGCGTGCGTGCGTGCGTGCGTGCGTGCGTGCGTGCGTGCGTGCGTGCGTGCGTGCGTGTGTGTATGTATGTATGTATGTATGTATGTATGTATGTATGTATGTATGTATGTATGTATGTATGTATGTATGTATG